GCACCAAATTCGGGGGATCCCTTCAGCTCGAGGAACCCTCTCGAATGCGAATTGAGTGTACGTCTCGAGGCCCTCTTTCGAATGAGACCACCACCGCGTCGATAGCCCCCGGGGTTCGGGAGTTACGGGCAGTTAAATTCGCGGTCAGGCGCTGACCGATCTAGAGATCCCGGGGGGCTACTGACACGCGGTGGGTGGTGTTCGATTGGGCTCCTCGAGCTGAAGGGATCCCCCGAATTTGGTTGAGATCCGCCAGCACGTTTGCGAGATAGTGACACCAGCCAACACTTTCACTTCAGTAAGGAGGTCTCTTGTTCAGGCAGCAGCATTCAAGCGTTGTCTTATTCGACTGTAAGTGCCCTGCGAAGTGGACTTCACATGAAATTCCGCCATGATTCCAGTTCCAAGGGAACCTACACGTTACAATCAAAGGGCATTAAAGTGCGCGAGATGTGAATTTATATTTATTTACAGAGGTAAATTATGTCACACTTCACACTTCTCTAGTAAGTTTCGTCTGTGTGTGAAGACAGTAGCGCAAATCCGTGAATGAATGTTCCAAAGTGAAATAAACTTCAACGGAATAAAGTTGAATGGAATTAACTTTACTGTTCAGTGCACTAATGTCAGACTCATTTTGAATAAAGTTTATTGTTAAATTGTTAAATGCCCTGCCTCCATCATTACATATCTTTGTCACGTCATTATAAGTGTTTGATCACCACATTTAGGTGATCATTGCAAAAAATGTGTTCATGTATATATATTCTATTTATGTATGTACTGTATTCTATATATAGTACCAGTCAAATATTTGGACACACGAATGGGAAAGTGTCCAAACTTTTGACTGGTACTGAACTATAATATACACAAAAGAAAATCGGCCGATATATCGATATTGGCCTTTTTTTTAATCCCAAATATCGGTATCGTATCGGCCCCAAAAAACCCATATCGGTCGGGCTCTAATTGTCAGTGGTATAAATGGATAGTTCACCCAAAAATTTTACTTGTCATAATTTACTCACCCTCGTGTTGTTCCAAACCTGTATGAGCTTCTTTCTTCTGCTTGAATATAAAACAAGATATTTTGAAGAAATGGAAAAAATAGTATGGAAGTCAGTGGGGACTAAAAACTGTTCAGTTATTTGCATTTTTTCAAAATATCATCTTTTGTGTTTAGTAGAAGAAAAAAGCTCATACAGGTTTGGAACAACTTGAGGGTGAGTATATGATCACAGAATTTCCTTTTTTGGATGCAAAACAAACTCTCATTCAGTCTGACTGCAGTATGGTATAAAACACCCACATTTAAAAATATATGAAGTCCATTTTTTTCTCATCACATATCCTGTTTAAATGCAAATACAACCTTTAAAGTGATAGTTCACCTTCAGTTGCTGGTCCCCATTGACTTCCATAGTATGTAAAAAAACAATATGCAAGTCAATGGGGACCATCAACTGAAGGTGAACGATCCCTTTAAGTTGAGACTAGCTAATTTTTTATGATTTGTTCATCATAGTGGTTGTAAAAGCATATCTGCATGTTTTGTAAATGCACCACCAGTCCTGGCACTCTTCCTTACCTTTTTAATAAAGATCAATTACTATGATTAAGAATGACATGATGTCTGTCGAGTTAAGGCCTGTTTATGCCAAGAACGATAACTGCAAATATATAGTTTTAAGAATAATTTTAAATACAAAAGAGAAAAAAATAGCAGAGTCCACAATAATGTTAATAATACAGGGGAACAATGTTGTTGGAATCACTTTCAGGATGCTTTTTTCCAGCCAATCAGAATCCATCCTGCTTTAAAGAGTTTGAGCATTCAAAGGGACAGACCTATAATGCATTGGTGTGGACACTAATATAGTTATAGTTCATGGTATGAATGGGCCTGTGTAGGTAAAGACTAATTCAAAGAAATAGCACATTCAGCATTTACTCGTCATCATATTGTAGGATAGATGCAAACAGACTTACCAAATTTAAAAGGCTTCATAAATAGAGCAAATAATTTGGCACATAGGCACCTGAGATTAACAAGAGCTCTTTTCTCTTTCCCACTATCTCCTCCCCATGATAGCAGAGGTGATTGACCTTCCACTCAGACTGTAATTACAAGACATGCTTA